CGAAAATAATTATCATTAATATAACATAAATTTTACCATAAAAAAACACTTATATTGTATTAGATTAGTTATATTAGCCTTTATAGCAAGTATCCATTACAAATCTATATCTATACTCTATACCTTAGTATTTAAAAACATAAACCATCATCCTTATAATGCCACATGAAAATTTCATTTTTCATCAATGACACATGTCACCTCATTTTTTTTTCTTTTTTAATCCCTTTTTCTCATATTTAAAAAAAAAAAAAACTTTAATTCAATACATGTATAAATGTTGTTTGGTTCACTTTCCCCCAACTTAATTTCTTCTACAATTAAATTTAATTTCCACCTCTTCTTCTCCTTTATATATTATACATTTTTCAATATACATATATTAAAAAATAAGTATTTACATTGTATACCTATAAACAACCCGTGCATTGCACGGGCCAAAAGGCTAGTTATAGATTAAATACAGGCAAACTCATTACAGATTAAAAGTTACTCTTAAAAGGATTAAAGTTTCAAAAAAAAAAAATTTGTTAAATTTACACTTAAATTGACCATATTACAATAAAACTAATGTAAGACCGCCTTACACAGGGCCATCTTCGGCAATTTAGAGGCCTCGTGCTAATGATAAAAAATAGGCCTCTAAAATTTGTAAAGGACCTATTTAAACCGGTACGTAAAAAGCTCATTAGCTATTATATAACGATTTTGGGTTCATTTACAATATATTTATCAATAGCTTCTCAATAGCTTCTCTTTGAGACGGGTCAATTCTTCAATTCTCTTTTTTTTTTTTTCATAACCAGAATCATATTTCTTAAACATAATAATAATAATACAAAAAATAATGCCAATGTTATTAGGTTAAAACACTAAAAATAAGGTTCCTTCATACTTCTTGCCTAAAAAATAATTAGTAATAGGTTAAGTAAATTGAAGATTTCCTTCAAAAAAAAAAAAAAAAGATTTTTAGTTAGTTAGAATAGAGATAATTAAGGGAGTTAATTTGTTTTGGAAAATTGAAATCAAAAGTCAAAATATTAATTTTGGAGATAATCGAAGAATATAAAGAATTTCACTAGTAGAAAATAGCAAAGGGCACCGGTTCAAACCCGGCTTAAGGCACCAATTTGAACCCGTGCCTATGTGGGGGGTGCCAATTACCCCCCTTTTTGGCACCGGTTCAAAACCGGTGCCGTAAACCGATTTTGGCACCGGTTAACCGGTGCCTTAAATAGTTCCGCGGTAATTTTTTAGTGGAAGCTCTTTTAGGCACGGTTAATCGGTGCCTTTTTGGTTTTTTTTTTTTTAACTTTTTTCTTGCAATAATATTAAAAATAATATAAAAACAAACATTAGAAATACGAACCAAACAAAAATAAATGGTAAAATACGGAGTCTTGAAATTGTTATATTCAACATCAAAACAATGGTAAATCACATTATATTCAACAAGTAAATTGTTATATTGTACAATATAAAAAAAAATTAAAAAAAATTACAATGAATTATAATGAAATTCAACTCAGAAATTGAAATTGTAAAACAATAAAAAAAATTACAACATCAAAACAATATTCCAAAATCAAAGTCTTGAATCCTTGTTGCATGAATTAACACCTGCATCAATTAAAACCCAGCAATTATTAAAACTAGAAAAAAAAAAATACGAGAAACAATAATCCAGAAAATTCATGCATGAAAGAGAAAGAGAAAATCAATCCAGAAAACCTAGAAAACCGCACAAACAATGAATTATAATGACAAAATCAATTAACCCAAAATCACACCCAACAATCAATTAAACCCAGCAAACCCAGAAAATCAATTAACCCCAAAACTTTCGAAAATCAATTAAACCCAGAAATTTCGAAAAATCAATTAAGTGCAAAAAATGACAAAATCAATTAACCCAAATAATTCCAAGATCGATTACACCAATCAATTTCGAACAATATTACAACAATCAAACCCAAAAAAAATTAAGGCATATAACATAAATAATTAAACCCAGAAACCCTTACCCCGAATAATTAAACCCAGAAACATGCACTAACCTCAAATTTGACCTGAATATAAGTGGACTTGGTGGCGGCGGTGGTTAGTGGCGTCGATGGTGGTGGGCAGAAGACAGAAGAGAGGTCGGAGATCGAGACAGAAGAGGACAGAGAGGGGAGAGAGGACAGAGACGAGAGGTCGGAGAGAGAAGGAGGGGAGGAGAGGAACGCCGGGAGAGAGAAGGAGAGGCGCCGATCGAGATCAGAGGAGAGAGAAGGAGGTAGGTTAGCTTAGGGTATATATAAAGGAAAAGGCCAGTTTTTTTTTTGGAGCACCGGTTCAAACCGGTGGCCTTTTTATTTTTGGCACCGGTTTGAGCTAAACCGGTGCCATTGTTCTTGGTCTAAATCCCCGCCCAATTGCAGGCCAGATTTTGGCACCGGTTTGGCATGAACCGGTGCCAATTTGGGGTTGCCTTTTTGTATTTTTCTACTAGTGTTTTGAGGTTTGCTGGTAATAGAGGCCAACTTTTACCGGGAATGAAATAGTGATGTTAAAAAAAAATAATTAATACAGTGAATTTTAAAAATTTTGGGGCCCCTAATTTTTGGGGGCCCTGCTACGTGTATCATAAAAAAGCATAACCTAGCCGAGTCTGACCTTACACAAGACTTATTGTTGATCCACAAGGTTAGGGATGACAATCCAGTTCGGATCTAACCCTACTCCGCCCCGATCCGAGGTAAGAAATTTCGTTCCGAATCTGAGAATAAAGAAATCCGAGTTCGACTTCGTTTAAATAATCCGACTCGGAGTCGGAGGAGGTTCGGAGTCAAATCCTACAAAAAATCCGACTCCGACAAATGTCCGCTATGACGGATTATCCGATTTCGATAGATCGTGGATTTTGGTGTGGGTCATGGTGGCATTGGGTGTGGCCGTGTGGGTTGTAAAGGCCCAAATAGCCCAATTTCTCAAAGTATATTGAATAACGAAAAAAAACTCGGAATTGGGTCGGATCGGAGTCGGAGTCAGAGGTCGGATATTGAAGTCGAAGTCAGAGTCTCGGAGTTGGATGTCGGAGTCGGAGTCAGAGTCAGATTTAGCCTCCAACTTCCTGAGGGTCTGAGTCGGATTTAGCATAATCCGCTCCGAGTCCGACCCGTTGCCATCCCCACACAAAACCCTTCCATTCTCCAAAAGAAATTGTACCTATAGAATCGGCCATATTATAGAAATAGGCAAATTTTGAGAGGGAATAGTTAGAAGGAAGGTTTTAAAATGGGGCGTATTAGTCATTTCATTGTGTTTAGTAACCTAACGAGGCGTTTGGTACGAGGGATATGGATAAGGAGGATAAAAGGGTGGGACAAGGATGGAGGATTAGTAGGTGAGATAAGGATAAAAATAATGTTGTCATTTATTTGGTACGAATTGTGAATTATATGAGGATAAGCAAAAAATTTACTTAACTACCTTTACTAATATTTCACTTATTTTTTCCTCCTTTCCTTCATTAAGAGTAAAAATGTAATTTTGCCTCATTAATTTTTTCTCTATCCTTTATACCATTTCCCCCTACTTATTATTTTGGAGGGATAACTTGCATTTTTATCTCTATCTATCCCCACCTCCTTAGTTATCACCATCCCCCTAAACAAACAAAAGAATATTAAATCTCTTTCCTTTTATCCCTATCCTCCAAACAAACACCTTCTAAACTCCTCTAATTCGAAGTTACTAATTATTTTTTTTATATATATATTTTTTGACGGGAAATTTATTAATTTTAACTTAACTAACTAATCACGCCAATTACTCAATTAGCTTAGAGAATCAAAATCGAGTTGCAATTGCATTATTTTTATTAAAGGAATTATTTTTTACTAAACTGAAAATAATTTTACTGAACTGAAATCTAATAGTGGTATATTGATATCAATGGAAAAATTCAATACCAAGGATGTACTAATATACCATTGGGAATTGGAAAATTTGAAAATATTAAGTCAAACTTTTGGCCATCTGCTTTTATTATGTCAACCTTTTGATTATTTCTAAACACGTCAACCTCGTAATAACATTAATTTATATTACGTTTTTTTACCGGTGACTGGATAAGCCCTTAATAATTTCTAAAATTTGAAATAAAAAAATGAATTAACATTTTTAAACCAAAAAAAATAAAAGTTAGCATTTAATAATGCCAACTAATTAACTCTACTCGTACTCTTATAGTCTTATCCAAACTAACAATCTCCCTTATTATCCACGCTTCCTATAATCTTCATTTTTCAACTCCATTAAACTCACATACTCCATTATTCCTTTCTCTTCCTATCAAACCCACTACCCACCATCATCGCTGCTCACTCATATCCGCGCACGCTCACACTAGCAAACCCCACCATCGTTGCCTAAAAACCACCTCAGCCACTCCACGACCACCCCACCACCTCTTTTTCCATAATCCTCTTGGAATCACACTCTAATACTCTCAATTAAATTAGCGGTCTTCAATAGCATTCACTTTGGAGCAATTTTAAGTATGTGGATTGTCTATTCATATTGATTTAAGGGGATTAACATCAAATACAAGCACTATTTGTACATATAAAGAGGTTTTGTGATCAAACTAATTCTCTACCTTCAAACTAGTTCGACTATATATATATGGTTCTTGTAAATTTTTGACTGGCGATAGCAAATACAAGAATTAAACAATTGAAGAGTTAAAGTTCTTGGGAATGAAGAGGAAGAGTGGAGAAGATGAAGTAAGAATTGAAAGAGGAAATATGGGGAAGAAGAACAAAGAAGAAGGATGGAAAAAGGTGGAATAGAAAGTAGGATAAAAAATGGGAAATTTGAAAAAAATTAGTCTTTTTTTTACCTCCATACAAGCAATTAACCTATTTTTGCAAGTCATTTTTTATTTTCACGTAATAAAAATTAATGCTACTACAAGATTGACGTGTTCAGAAATAATTAAAAGGTTGACGTAATAAAAGCGGACGGCCAAAAGGTTGACTTAATATTTACAAATTTTCCTTGGGAATTTCCCTATTAAAACTTCTTACTAATTTAACTAATATTACGAGTTTAGACCGAACTTGTTCAACAATATTTTTTTTTGTTTGGATATAAACAATTTTGAAGTAATTGATTTAGTGGATCACAAATTTCCAAAATAATTGTAATTTACCTCCAAATCCAAATCTCCTACCCTCCTTGAATCAATTGAGCAATTAACAAATAGCAGAGCTGAGCTCAGCCCTAATTTTGTTTTTTCAAATCCCTAATTGAAAACCCCTGCATCTCCAGAAATTCCTCTAATTTCGGTCAAGGAAACCCTAATTATGGTCGATCAAAACCCTTATTCAATGGGAGAATCGGTAACTTCCGTCGTTGCACTGAGCTTGCTTTCCCCTAATTCTTTCAATTTGGGTGTTTTTCTTGCTGAATTTTATTTGAATTTTTATTTGCAGAATTTTATTCATGATGAAGAAATTCGGCTTGATACGATCAAAGCTAGATGTAATTTTCTGTAATTTAAACTCAATTTTGTTTACGATTGATGAAATGTATGAGTTTTTAAATGGTTTTTTTTTGGCATTGTTACAGTTAGAAATGTCATGAAAAGGCATGCTGAATTGACAGAGCGTCTTTCGAGGTATGAATTATTTCGATTTCGATTACCTTTGAATGGGGATAGATGGTTAAGAAGTTAATTGCAGGTTTTGTGCAATGAAAACAAGCTTCTAATTATGGCATTCTCAAAATTTTGTTGTTAACTTTTGTGCTCCACTGCTCCTTTATCATAAATGACTTGTATTTGATCAAATAATTGGAAAAATGGATTCATTCTTTCATGGCATCAAGTCGGTTTGTATATAACTGTATAATTTTACAGAGGATATTAGCTTCATAATTGTCAATAAAAACTTTTACTTGATCAGTTCATGTCTCGTATGCTAACAGCTGGGGTGAGTGCTATTTGATCCTGATGACATTTGCTGTCATCCATACCCTCGAGCACGAGTTCTATGCTGTCTGCTTGTAATTAAATCCAATTGCAACTAGTTTTCATCATGGCACTCCCTGATGTTTTAAAGAAAATCATTGTTCTATGCAAACACTTGTATATAACTATATGTGAGATGTGCGCCTAGTGTTTGTACAGTAAGACGTACCAAATAACGTCATATAGTTTGTGTAAAGACTTGCGTAATATGTTCCTCTTAAAGCCACTAGTTGGCCTTTTACAGAGGATAACTACTTTACATGAATGTTTTGGCTACTAGCTAGCGGAGTATTTGGTTACAATCATAGCAAATTGTTATTCTATTGTTCATACTATAATATATTTCATCTGCAATAAGCCAATAACATTTGCTGTATATCACAAAAAAGTTAACATAAGTAGAAAGTTGTGATTCTCAGTTCTTCAGATTTCTCTGTAAACATATTGGGACAGAGGGAATGGTTTAGCTGGTTATTTGGATTTGACAGTCTTTTGTTGATAATTTTGTTGTGTAAAAATAGCTTCTAACTGGAGTTTTTGATTGTCTTGTAGGGATTCTGACAAAATGGTTTTTGATCGTTTGCAAAAAGAATTTGAAGCTGCACTAGCTTCTCAAACTCAAGGTATTTGGTTCATAATTATTAAGTCTGTGGGAATTTGGTGTCTTTCTGCCAGTCACACGCTTATCATAGAACTTGGCATAGGCATATAATTACGTATAATATGTTTGTTGAGCTTGCTCACTCTCTTTACCAATGATTACATTCATAAGTGTTTGACGAGCTGTTAAGAAATGTTCTTTACAATTTCAAATTGTGACATCATTTATACGCTGTACACCTTCACTTTGTCCCATGCCTAACTACGTCATGCCGTCACATACTGCTGTATTATGACTGCTAACACTTCCTTCGCTCTCATTTCTAATTTAAGGAAGTTAAATGGTACTCTGTATAAGATTATGCACTTTTCCTTCTTGTCATAGACACCAATGTTTGTCTAATGTATCTTTTTCCATTTGTCATATACTCCTATGTTTTGTATCGTATTGCAGAGATCTATCTGGAAGGTGAAGATTGGAATGATGGACTTTTAGCCACAATAAGAGAGAGGGTATGCCATGTGGATTCATGTTTTTGTATCGTTCTGTAAAGTTTTTATCTATTTATTTGTATGTCAAATAATGAACTTTTTTGTTTTAATGTTTCACCTCACTCTCTGTCACATACTTGCAATTGGTTGTGGTAATTGTTTTTTTTGTTTTTTATTTTTATTTTTTTCCCGTGTTAGGTTCACATGGAGGCAGATAGGAAGGCAACATCAGGGGATTCCAATATGGAGCTAGACTCTCCCTTGCTCGAAAAAATCACTTATAGGGTGGGAAGTAAGGTAATATCACCTATAGTCCAATTTTTAAGAACAGTGTCAATGGTAAGAGTCTTGATGGAACCAAGTATACAATGGTTTCTCTCTAAGTAATGTTGACTATTATGTGTTAGTATCTCTGCATGGAAATTTTCTCGTGACTTCAAGACCAATAGAGTATTTTTCAAGTATTTTAATAACAGCAGAAACGTATTAAAATCTGTCTTTAAGAAATGGGTCATGATCTGCTAAACTTGGTGTTAACATGTTTTTGATTTTGGATAAAATACTACTACAGTGACCTTATGCTGTTCTTATGGAACTCTCACTTCATATGGAACTTACTACCATACATCCTTGGCTTTCTGAATTATTAAGTTAGAAAATTGTTCTTTTGCATGGAATAGTCTTGTGATCCCTGATTCCACAAAATACTGAAGTGAGTGGGCATAATGGGGGGATCTGATCCTAGAAATGGTGGCTTCAACATGCGGGGTGCAAAACCCTCATCTTGAGTATTGCATTGCTTGAAATCTAAGTGGCTTGGAAGTTCTATTATTTAGGTTAATGTATACATTGGCTACACGACACAGCATTTACATCAATTGAACTTTATGTTCTTGACTAATGAATGCATATGCATATTATATTATATTATTACGCTGTAGAATGACAATTGGGTGGATGTCATGTCAAAATTATAATCATAATCCAAATTTTGAGCTAAATTTTGAGCTAGTCTTTTTAGTTGATATTTCCAGCTTTTTTCTGGGTGAAGTGTCTGATTTAATGTCAATACTATATAGTAAATTTTAATTTACTCGTTGTACAGGTTATATGTTGTTTGGAAGGTGCAAGGATTGGTATACAGTATGAAACATCGTTTGCTGGTAATTTAAAAGTCCTTGATGCTGTTTGTTATCACCGTGAAATATTACTTGTTACATTTTGTACCCGGTTTTGAATCTATTGTGACTCATGTGATTGAACAAATGCCCTTGGCATTGGTGATTTTGATAGTTTTGTCAATAGTTAACTGGATGAGAAATAGTAACACACTAACACAACTGTTCTTTATATGCAATTACTTAATTTGTTTGGCAGACTTGGGCTATGTTTGCTTCACCCTTTTCAGTTACTTATTCTTGTTAATCAAACCAGACCTCAAAAATGAAGCTTTTAGACATTGGCTCTTATATAATATCAGCTGGAGGTGTCTTTGCTCTATGGTCGGCTTTGCTTCTCTTGGCTTTTTAAACTGGTGCTTGCTTATGGTTCCTGTTGGTCTTTTTGAATCAATTCTTCAACTAAAAATCTGTTCAAGATGAGCTTCATGTGGCCACATCTCTTCATACCCTACCTATAGTAGGTATTATGCTGAGTAGCTGTGTTGCTTGCTTGTGTTTTGCTTCCTTAGTGAAATACAGACCAGAGGATCACTGAAGTGTATTGCTTAAGTTTTGATCTGGATAATTACATCTTTAAGCATTTCTGCTCCTGTACAAAAGAGGATGAAGGTCAGAGTGGTGTAGCTCCTGTTCAGTGGCTCATAAAGTTGGTTAAATCTTGCATCTAATCTATTCTAATCCATAAAGATAGCCAGAGCAGCATAGCATTGGATCTAAATTGGTTACTGCCATTACTCTTGGTATCTGACACATGAAGTTCCGGTTTTTATGAAGCTTCATTTAATTCGATCTTCTTCTCTTTTTTCTTTTTATCCTTGGGGTCTTAGGGCAGGATTATTATTTGGTAATCTGATGTGTGGGATTCCTTTATCTAGATATCTTTTCGACTAAATTCCTAAGAGTCAATTTAGGTTATGTTCAGTTTTGATCTATAATTTTCTGATTTGATCAGATTTTTTAGTTTGACTAAACTTTGACCTTATTTGTACACTTATCCGTAAAATTAAATCATATCAAATGAGATGTCAGTAGATTCATATTAATATGTACTTTCCAGATATGAAATTTTCATAATTTTTAATATCAAATTTTAAGATATTTAACATCAACTAAATGCTAATAAAAAGACAAGATCAGTTCACATCTAATTTGATTATTTCAGAAATAAGCTAATATCAACTTAAGTAAGTTGCACTATACATAGTTTAGTGGTAAGATAATCTGTACACGGAGAGTGCATTTCTTATGTTTTTTACCTATTTTTTTCTAAAAACTGTTTTTGAGAAAGCAAAACACTTCTAGAGCTCTGAGTTTCTTGACATAAGGGGATCAGTGAGATATGGTAAATGATTCTAATTCTTGCAATTTGTATTGCGTAACATGATAATGTTTGTTAGGGGAGCTTTACAATGGCATCAAAGTTCTTGTATTTGGTTGGTTTATCAAATTAAAGAAGCAAACTGAAGCAAGCTTGTAAGGGGGTTCACAAAGTGGTAGCAAGGTGGTATGGGGTTGGAACTTGGAACTCAATCTTTAATACCTTGTTTTTGGTTGTTAGGGAATGAATTTGTTCTTTATTTGATACCTTGAGGTGTGGTATGAGCCATACCCACCTACCCCCTTGGGTTTTTAAACCACATACCTTGTGGGTTTGAGGTATGGGCTTAGAAATAGAAATTTTCTTAAACAAACATTAGATATGGGTTTTACCCATTCTAGACCCATACCTAAAATCTACATTTCAAATGCCCTCTGAAGAGTTTAAGAGAATGGTACATCCAGCAAGCAGTAGGACAATTATGGTGATAACCAAAGTACAATTTATCTGGTAAAATATTCTGAATTTCATGCTTAAAAGCATGCACTCCCTTTGTCCCATACATATTGTAACATAGTGAAATAGCTCGCAGTTTGAAGAAATTGAAAAATATAGAGAGAAAAGTGGATGCCTTGGTGTAGGGCCTCATTCTAGATGAAAAGTAGAGAAAAAATCTTACCAAAAATGGTATGTTGTAAGCTAGTAGGGACATTTCAAATAGTTATTTGTAAAATCAAGGGACGGAGGAGTAGATGTGATCTATTATTGGACACAAAAACACTTCAGAAGGCGAGCTACTGTATTTGGATAAGATCTATATGGATCATAATGTCGCATATATCAGGACAAAAATCTTGTCATTGGAAAAGCCTATTTAATGCAAGGTGGCTAGAAGTCTTTTTCCTTGCTGAATCCTGGAAGTTTGTATAGGGCTAATGTTTTATTATTATCTAATTTATTAGATCATCTCTCTCATTTGCACATATGATCCTTTTTAGAATTATGATTTTCTTAAAGTCTTTTTATTCTATAAATTGAACATCATCTCTAATTCCTGGTATGTTAGCCTTCTTAGGTAGTATGTGGTTTTAAGAAGCATTTTTTTTTTGGTTTTCATTTTTATTACTATGTATGTGATATGTTTTGTGATTTTGAATGGTTGCTGGCTTGCTGTAAATTGAACTTGCATGTACTTGTAGATATTGTTTCACCATACTATATTCGATATGTGCAGGAGAGCCATGTGAACTGTATCATTGTGTGCTAGAGAGCAAGTCATTTCTGGAGAAGATGACTGTTTTAGAACACACCATTCCTTTCTTTCTGCCTATACGAGAAGCTGAAAATGATCTTCTCTCATCCAATGCAATGGTGAGGTTAGTTACCTTACCCTTGTGTATTTGCTTTGTAAATCCATACCTTATCTGCCTCTTCTGAGAAGAATTGTGTATATCCTGTTTCAGAAATTTATAGATCATGTTGGAGAACTGTTGCAGGCATATGTGGATAGGCGGGAGCAGGTAAATTTACCGTATTTTTCTGGTGTCTCCTGATTTAGAAGTCTGATTATGATATACTATGCTGCTTGTTTAGATTTCTTAATTAAGCCATATCTTTTTCCTCTTCTTTCGTTATCAACAAATTATGTCTATAATATTATCCTTGCCACTGCTATAATTCCTTTAATGAATTCTGGTATGAATAGCTACACTCTTTAGTGATTCCTTTTTTTTATGGATCCCATATTGGAAGTTGTAGAAAAATGCATAAGATGTTCACTGCCTTGCCTTTCCTTTATGGTGTAAATTCCTCTTGATATTTTGGCTAGGAAAGTCCTATTCCTCATTTTTTTTTTTTTTTTTTTTTTTTTTTTTTTTTTTTTTGGAGGGGGAGAGGGGGGGGGGTGGGGTTCTGGATCATGGAAGTCTTGTAGATGTGAGATTGAGAAAATGATTGATATGATGTGCATGACACAAGATACGTGGGACAATATATATAACAAAAGCTTGTGTAAAGTCGAATAGTAAAATCATCGACATTTGTCTGAGAGTTTGAGTTCTAGATTTTGTAGAGGTGATCAACATTGGCCCGGACCGCTAGCCCGACCCGAAAATAGGGCGGGTTTGGGCTAGCATAAAACAAATTTTAGTTAAAAGCCCGAACCCGGTCCGCGAAACCCGAAATCCCGCTACTTTTATACGGGTTTGGGCACGAGAAATTGTATTAAGGCCCGGCCTGGCCCGATTTTTGATCACCTCTAAGATTTTGTCATAGGGGGAGCTAAACAAGTGCTATCTCATGTTTGCTAAGGGTTGTATCTTGGATGGTTGGTGACTCTTTAGTCTTTACCTGGTGGTCTTTTTATGGATAGGTGAATTATAATTTTCTAAGGAGGTCTACATGCATACAAGACCTGAATTTGAAACCTCTCTGCCTCAACCATCTGTTTATTAATCCTGGAATGGATTTTTTTTTTTTTTTTTTTGTAAAAAATAATTTCTAAAAGCTGAATTGTAAGCTGGGTGGGTTGAGGAGTGAGGACTGATAGATAAGACATATTGCAGTTCAGCAACGATATCTCATTGTTTATGAGCGATGAAGAGCATGGGCAACAAAGAAGAAGTCCTCTAATTTTTTATTTTCTCCTTGCCTTTTTCTGAAACCTCATTTTTCTTGCGTCGACCTCATCTCCCACTTTACCTTCCTCTTCCTTCAAATCTTTGTAGCTGAAATTGAAATTCTTTAGTGAATGTGATATTGCAACATTTCAGTCAGATTATTGTTATGTTCTTGGTTGAATGGGTATCTCATGTAATATCCTGGACTTTCATTGGTAATACCTATGGTATCAGTGTCAACTTCCTTGCTCTGGTAGGTACATTTACTTCAGTAACTTTGGACAGATGGAAATTATGGATAGATCATAACATCTCAGTCTCCTTTTCTGGATCTCTCATCCCTCATTCTAGGCCTGCACTGCCAAAAATTGTCATAATTTACTTTTGCCAAAGATTGGGTCAAGTAGAGAACAGCCAACAAGAATAGACTTTTGTGTAGTGGATCAACTGCACTGAGGAAAAATTGTTATCTAAGGCAATCAGTTTGAAATATACTATTGGAAAGATTATTTGATCCTTGCACAGATTATCACTTTTTTATTTGATACCTCAAGTGGCACCTTTTGATGAGTGATAAATATCATACTTTGTATATTGTACCTCTCCATTATTGTTAACCGAAAAAATGTCAAAAGATTGATTGGGTGGAATATAAAATCACAAAATGTTGGGGGTGAAATTGGTGATTATATGTTTTGGTAAGTAATTTTCTCATGTGTCTATTTATAGATCTAGTTTAACTTATAAACAAATTGGATCATACGTAAGAGTTGTGGGTTTACCGTGGATCAGTGGACCACCAAACTACAAGGGGAGGAATTTTAAGTGAGAAACGTATGAGGATTTTTGTGTTATGAAGCTAGGCACTTTTAATTTGTTCTTTGGCTTCGTGAGAAAAATAAAGGCTGTGTTCTATGTTTTCTTTACCTTAATTATGTTTACTTATAAATGAAATATATTGTGTGGTGGTTTTTGGCACTTTTTATAAGTTCATTGGTTAGTTCAAGCCATTAGAGCGATGTTCTCTTCACCTTAATTTTGTTACTTACATGAGAAATATTTAATTAATTTTTAATAGTAATGATGATTAAATATGGTTGGAAACTATACATTGAAATTAGATTCCATGTGATTATGTTTTATTTATTTAGTTAATTTTTTCTTATAATTTTAAATTTATCTTGAAGATATGGACATATGGTCAAGTTCAATTAGACCAGGAGATCACATCTGACCATACCTTGAAAAATTCAGTTCATTTATTATATCACCTTATTTTATTTGAAAAGAATATAGCCTTAGTTGCAAATATCCAAAGTAATGGATCTGATAATCAATCCTCTTCTTGTATGTTTCATCCAATGATGGAAAAAGCAAAGCTTTTTCTCGCAGAGATACATGGAAGTAAAAGATAATGGAGAAAATCAAGTTTTTAAGCTGATTGCTGAATAGATTAAAGAAGACAATTTTAATTCTGTTTCACCTTCCTCACACTTACTCTACTACCTTATTTTGGTGCTAGGTGAGAAGAAGGGACGGGGTGGGGGTGATTTGCTTGTATGAGACTGAGTGTATTTTAGCTGTATGAATTTATGCCAGTGTGTCCTTTTTAGGAAAATTGTTTTGTTCAGAATTGTAATATGGTCCTATGTACTGATGATTATGATGGCGTTCTGAATTTGTCACATAGGTTCGTGTTATGAAAGAGTTATATGAGAATCAAATTGGAGATCTTTATCATAGTCTGCCTTATCATATGATCGAATTTGTACTGGAGGATTTTGAAAGGTAAGTACATTATGTTATTTTGAGTTCCTTTGGTAGAAGACTTAGTGAGTTGTTGCATCACACATTTATTGCTGTTTGGGGGGGGGGGGGTGGTTGATTCAGATACTTCTTTGTAGACAACTAATGCCTAGTTTTTTTTGTAGCTTTGTTTGAAGGTGCATGATTTCTAATTGTATGTGCAATTTTACCAAAAAAAAGTTTTTTTTTTTGTTGTGGGGGGGGGGGGGGGGGTTGCGTTTTCTGTTTGGTGGCCTTTATAACAGCTGAATGTTGGACCTCATGAGTTATTGTTTCTCGTCAACTTAATTAGTCTGAATTTAACTATTTGACTATGCTAAGCTATCGTATGCATATGAATAATCATGGGATTGCTGTTATCTTGCCATGTAATTTATGTTCTGACTACTATATTATGGTTGTGAATTTCCTCTCAGCACCAGGATCACCATCAGTCTTAAATATGCAGATTTGGTGTCTGTCCTTCCAACTCGAGTCAGAGTCATGGCTTGGCCATTGCACTCATCCAAGAAGGGCCTTGCTCCGGGTCCAATGAGCAGAAAGGGAAATGGAGCATTGCCAAATCATCTTATTCCCACGTGTCTATCTTATGCAGAAGATGCCCTGCGGATTTTTAGTTTACCCGAAGGTAATATTTTGGATTTTGAACTGAACAACTTTCAGTTTGAGCTGGTCGACAGATAATTATGTTTCGCAATCTTCATATATCTGAATTAAAGATATGCTACTAGTAGGCTAGTAGCTAGCTACTCAGTCCCTTCTGAATTGAAATGTTCTCTTTGTTTCAAACTTTCAACCCTTAATGAAGGATTCCCATTATTTCACCGATATAAAATTTTCAAAATGTCCTCTTTCTATCTTCTCTTCATCACTCCAACTAAATAGGGGTATGTGTAAATTATGACGATAATCTGTTATTATATTAGGAATTGTGAATTTTTTTCCTGACTTCCCAAAATAATATGCGTGACAATTTTTTCCAAACTACTAGGTTTCAATATTTGTGAAACCTGCTAAGAAGGAAAAGTTGCAGTTTTTTTTTAAATACTATATTAATTTTAATTTTTGACAAAAGTTTCAGTTTATTTGGAATGAAGGGTGGTGCATAAATCTTGCTATTGGCATTCTGTTAGGACTATGTTTTTCCTGACTATTGTTTTATTCAGCTTTTGCAGAAATTGTGTTGAACTTGCCACCTGCACTCCAGCAGATATTTTCTTCGTAGTTATCAATTGATCGAGATTTAGAAAGGTAGAGCCACACTAGTCCTTTGTAGGCAAAATTATGTCCAATGCGCTGCACTGTATAGTCTTTTATAGAAAATTTCAACTTCTCCGCGCAAGTAGCGCTATTGGCCTTTTGTTTCAGTTAATTAGTGTGTGTGTGTGTGTTTTTTTGGTGGTGGTTGGGGGGGGGGGGGTGATAATTGTGGATATACATCAATTTTATTTCAACTCTTTAATATGGTTATTGCATTATCTTTATTTTGTAATTTAAAAATTTGAAATTCCCTGGCTGTAGAAAACTAAACAGCTGTTTATCCGATTGTTTCTGATCTCTTGATTTTTACTGTCATGTTTAGTTCATTCGCATGGTTTTGAAACTGTTCATTTTGTGTATTTGATACTTTGTTGCATGATTGCCTGAGTTTCTTAGAATTTTAATTTCCTTCACATATTATCTATAACCATATAATATTGGGATAAAAACCTCTACTTCGTATGTTTTTGTGTAACTATTTTAGGATTACAACTGTTTTATCTATAACCATCCTACCTTGAAACTGGAATTCTGATGAGGTGATTAGAATAGGTAAACTTTCAACCGGCCAATTCAGTTTAAAACCGAGACGTGTTGTTATTGATGTTTTTAAGTTACTTCAGCTAAATTGTTAGCTTACTTGGTCTAATCTCTTTATTAAAATGTGTACCATTGGCCGATTTTACACATTAAAAACCAGAGCTGTCATATTAAAACAATGTGCTTATTATGTTCTCTCTTCTATCATAAGGATTGGTAACTTTCAGGGTCAATATACGGTATACACAAAAAACTGGTACGTATTATTTTTGTAAAATTTGATACAGTTTACACTATCATGCCAGATTTTACCCTGCTATTCCCTCTGATTCCAGAGTATTACCAAACTTTTGTAAAAGACTAAAATTTGTAAAAGACTAAACTTCACTCATACTGGCCTCAGAGGCAGGCTTGGCCTCAAGGCCTTGCAATAAATACACCATCTGAGTTTATGATCATATCAGAAGAAAAGATAGGGAAATAGAAATATGAATAGAAATTTTATACAATGCTAACTTTTGCTAACAAAATTTAGACATGTTACTTTCACATTTTAGAGCCATGTTTGGTAAGAATGGTAACTGACTTTTTATTTAGCCTAAAAAAAATGTTTGTTTAATCATTTTTTTGGTTGGCTTAGAAGCTAAATTAAAAAGCTACTCACACTGGCTTTTGTCTTTGGTAGTGTGAAGTCCTGTTCAGTTCACTTTAAAAAAAAAAAAATATTCAGTAACAATTATTTCAGTTTAGTAAAATTAATTTCATTTCAGCAAAAATTAGTTACTCAAGTAATGTACTCCCTCCGTTTTTAAATATTTGCTCCACTTTCTTTTTTCGGCCGTTTTTAAATACTTACCTCATTTCCTTATTTGAAAAGCCTTTTACAATATTAAATTAATTTTTATTATCTAGTGGACCCACCATGAGATTCGTACTCATAACCACAAGAATATGCATTAAATGGGAAAAAATATTATGGATGAGAAGGTTCGAACACTTGACCTATTAGAAGAAAGGTTATTGTTTAACCATCTAGGCTAATTATCAATTATGTTTTAACCTTGCATAATAAAAAATATTATATATGAAGTATTGAAGACACATACTACATATACACTATTAGTTGCTCTTAAAATTAGCAATTGCACAACTATAAAAAGTACTATCCCGGGGCAACGCTTGGGCTATTCACTAGTTTCTCCTAAAACTCCGCGCATGGAAAAATGGAGCAAGTATTTAAAAACGGAGGGAGTAATGGAGATTATTTCAGTTCAGCAAAATTATTTTCAGTTCAGAAAAAATAATTTAGGTTCAATACGAGTAAAAATAATTCCACTTCAGTAAAATTAAATTCAATTCAGCAAAAATAAGGTGAAGTGAACATGACTTTAAATAAGAAGTAATTTTGTACCCTTTAAACAATATCTTTACTTTGTTTGTTTGTCTCATTTGAAATCTTTATATAATAAGAGAAGCTTACAAGATCTTTAATAAATACAAGAAAAATAACATATCCATATAGTGTCTTGTTAAATGTGTGTCGATGTATCATTGCAAATTTTTAGGTTTTGTAAGTTTTTAGCATAGTTGAAGATATTGGTTCAAAAACTTGTGCATTGTATACTGTATAACAATGCAATGAGACAAATAAAAAGGAACAAATTGAGTAATATTTATTAAGTACCCTCTTGTCATTAAAATTTTCTTCTTGTTTTGAATAGCTATGAAGACAAAGAAGAAAATTTGGATTTTTTCGTAAATATTCAAAACACATTGCGTGCATATATAACTAGTTTGTTTCACCAAAAAAAAAAAAAATATAACTAGTTTGTTATGAAAAGTAAAGGCGGTTTATATATGGAACAAGTTTTTAAAAAAAAAACAAATAACAACTAGTGAAGGTTTGGAGATGGGATTATGTTATTTAGGAAAAGTTAATAATAATGGCACAAAAATTTGGAGAAATGGTGGGTATTGTATATGGGAAAGTTAAAAAAAAGGTTGGTGTATTATGGATAAAGTTATGTAAAATAAAGATAAAAAATTAAAATTACACGAAACACCTAAAATGGAATAGCGAGCTACATTGTACTCAACTTTTTAAACAACCAATAGTGAAACAACAAGTTAAACATGTTAAAATGATCATCAGGACAAACAAACCTACTGAAATAAACAATCCACAATCATGAGCCAATTGCCAACCAAAACCAACGAAATAATATAATCTCTTCCTCCCATAATACATGAGAAGTTCAACTTTTTTTTCACTATTCATACATTAGATTTGACCATAATTTTTTATTAACATAATAAAAATTGTATTTTATCACGAAATATATTGTTAGATAAGTTTTAATATAACGTTTCATAATATAATTTTAAAAAATATTTTCTCCGTTCTATTAATATTGCAGCAAGGAGGAAATTACGCATCCCAAAGTACATTTTATATGCTAAATATTTATAATTGTGTAAGAGTAAAAATTATAAGAAGTTGTTATAGTGAAAGTATTTTATGAGACGAATCCAATAAGATCCCATATGACTATTTTATTTAACATATAAATCTATATTATAAGGTCAACCAAGAGTGATGAATAGTGCAAAAAGTCCATTGTTAGAATATTAATAGAACGGAGAAAGTAATAAGTATTAATATTTAGTCAAACTAGTACATTGGCGTGTGTGTAATGTTTGACTGTGTTATGTATTATGGGACAGAGAGAGTAAGGACATGTTCACTTCAGCTCCATTTCAGTTCAGTTCAATTCAATTAAGCTCCTAATTTCCTTCTCTCATAAAATATTCATTTCAGTTCTATTTTATTCAGTTTAGTTCAGTTCAACTAGTTTAATAAATACGAATGAAATATACCATATAAATTATAAATAAGGGGAAAACTAAACTTTTGATCTAAAACCAATACTTTTATCAAATGGGTAAGACACAAAGTAACCATCACAATCGTATAATGTGTATAATCAAGCTAAGTCATTAAATATTGCTGTATTTCAAACAGTTTTCATTTGTGTTCTTATGCTACTTAATATGCTAAAATCCAAATTATCTTTCGTAAGTTGTTTTTCTAAGTATTCTATTATAGTGATCCAACTGTATACAACTTGTAAAAGCCCACAATATCCACCGCTCCAACTAAGCATAAATCAACAATTATAAGCACCAAAAAAAACGTCAGAAGAAAATATCAATTTTATGAGAACATCCTTTCCTTTCATGTGAGGAAGAATAATTTTTTCCAAAAAGAACTTTCACTTTTTTCGAATTTTCATTATCCATATTTTTTTTCGTGTGTATAAAGAGTCATAAAAGACACTAAAATAAAAATATAGACGAGATTTAATTATAAGTGTAACGTTCTTTAAAACTACATTAGTTAACTAAGCTATTCAATGTTTTTATGAGAATCTTCTTAATTTTCAAGTGAGGAATTGTCTTTTTCGACTATTTTTCTTTTTCTTTTTCAATGGAGGTTTATAAAAAGTAGCGATACATATGAGATTAATTTATAATGATATATCTCTAAAACTTTACCAACTAAACTAGCCGATAATTTTCCACCAATATAGTGGAATTCTTATGAATGTATAATTGTCAGTGCATGCTCCTCCAGCATCCTGCATTTTGTCATTATACAGCTTTTCATAAAACAAAACAAATTTATTTCATTCTTTGGATGTTCTGTTGAGTGCACTTCTTTACAACCCCAAAAAAGAATCAAATAAAATCCTTTTTATACTTAATGGAAGAACAACAATTCTAAGATTATATTGTTCCATTTAATACTTTCATAGTTTTATTTCATCAACTTTCTCCCATTTATATGTAACTCATCAACATATAATTCTATTTTATTTATGCAAGTATACAAAAAAGCTTAAGAAACATCAAATATGGTGACTAATTGCATCATATTTCTATTAACCACTCTAATATATCTCCTAATTCTATCTCCAAATCAATGTTCTGCTCAATTAAAACGTGATTACTACCGCGATTCTTGTCCAAATGTTGAGTCAATTGTACGGAATTCAGTGAAGAAGAAGCTCCAAGAGACTTTTGTCACTGGTCCTGCCACTCTTAGACTCTTCTTCCATGACTGTTTCATCCAGGTACTCTTTTTCCTACTTTTTTTGTTCATATTTTTACGCTTTTTGTGTACAAATTCCTTATAATAATTCATGTTAGTCGACCCCATATCATTTTGGCCTAGCGTTTTGTTTATTGTCAAAATTTATATAGTTTTGGTCAAGTATATATTTGTTTAAACTATATATACTACCTCCGTTACAGGTTATGTGCAACGATTAAACATTTTCCTTTTCTGCTTTATGTCAAATCGTTGCACATAACCTGTAAAGGAGGTAGTAGTTTACTACTTGTGACTATAAATTGTGTAATAATGTGGTGGTGTGATTTGGTTGCATGTTACAAATATATAGGGATGTGATGCTTCTGTAATACTTGCATCACGTACCGGAGATGCTGAGAAAGACGCTGAGGATGATCTTTCACTCGCCGGAGATGGTTTTGACACCGTGATTAGAGCGAAAGAGGCCGTAGAAAGTGTACCGGAGTGTAAGAACAAGGTTTCTTGTGCTGATATATTGGCCTTGGCAACTAGAGATGTCATATTGTTGGTATGTCAAATGATTCATTATTTGTACATGTACTTATATTTTAGCCTCTTTTACATAGCACAATAATCATTAATGACCATGTGGTCCAACATCATTTTGAAGTCATCAATCTCAATAAAAAAAAACGACATTTGATGAGGTTCAAATGCACGCAACTTTAACCTTACCTTATTTATTTTCCGATACAGAGTGGAGGGCCAAAATATGGTGTGGAATTGGGAAGAAAAGATGGAAGGATATCAACAAAAGCTAGTGTTGGAGGTCATCTTCCTCAAGCTCACTTCAACTATAAGCAACTAAGAAACATGTTTGCTTCTCATGGCCTCTCTGAAGTTGACTTGATTGCTTTATCAGGTTTACTCTGCTCCTCACAATCATTATTACTTTATCATCATTTTCTTACAAAGTTTTAGGTGTAAGTATTATTATTCCCTTAATTTCTTAAGGAAAATCAAGTTTTGTCAACTTTATTTGTTTTAGAAATTACAGAACTTGTTAAAAAATTAGTACCAGTTTATAAGCAATTTAGAACTTTTCTTTCTTTTTTTTATTTTTTATTCTAAAGTATTGTAATCTGACATACTTACATAAGTAATGATAATCAGTTCAAAATCATGTTTCAATGACCCTTTTTACTACGTAGTATTGTTGTCATATAACTATGGGTACTAAACCGCTTTTGCTAAGTGTCATTTGGTGATTTCTCTTTGGATTTTGGATCAAAATCGAATCAGCAATTTATTCTATTTTAAAACCACATGTATCATAGGTGTGTCAAACGTTTTAATTAGGTTATGTTCAAATTAGGATAATTAGTACAGTTTGAGTCATATTCGGGTGATGAGTCATTTGATTCAGGTTTGAATTTGCTAGATTATAAGGTCAATTAGCTTGACATAATAAATAAATAAATCAATATTCTATTTGTATTTGTCCACATTTCGATTTGGATCAAATCAAGTCATGTAATTTCGGAACAGTTTGAATTTAGGTTGGCTAACTAGGACTTGGTTTCCCCCCTCCCCCACTCCCATCTTCATGATCATGGTCATATTGCTCCCCTTCTATCTTCTCTTCTAAAGTCTAACATGCCGATTCATGTTAACCGACAACAAATCATTTTGGGACTAAAAGCTTTGTTGTTGTTGTTATATAGGAGCACATACATTGGGGTTTACGCATTGCAGCCAATTCTCCAAGAGAATATATAACTACAACAGCCAAAGTAGCATTGATCCAACACTTAATCAAGGATATGCAAAGCAACTTCAAAAGGCTTGTCCAAGAGATGTTGATCCTAGAGTTGCTGTTCCCTTAGACCCTGCCTCTCCTCTAAAATTCGACAACTCGTTCTACAAGAGCCTTCAACAAGGGAAAGGTCTTCTTGCCTCAGATCAAGCCTTGTATTCTACAAGAAAATCGAAAAGGGTTGTTAATGCATTTGCTTCAAATAGCACTTTGTTTGAAAGAATTTTCGTTTCATCCATGACTAGGCTTGGTCGACTTGGGGTCAAGACAGGAAATCAAGGTGAAATTAGGAAGGATTGTAGGGTGATCAATAGTTAGTATTAGTGAATTCTTTGAAACAATAATTGAAATTGTCTTAATAGACTGCATTTTCATCTTATTTTTTCCCTTGGCTTAGGTCCAGTTGTTACTAATGTGAATGGTACCTAAGATCTGAAATCAAATTCCGTTTATAAAATACACCTTCAATGAAACTCAGACAATGTATGTGCATGAACTGCATAATTTCCATCGAGGTTAAAAACGGCACTCATAAGTTTAAACTCTTTGTGTTTTCATCAGCTAATCTTGAATTCAGAAAATGTGCCGGTTTCAGAGAATTGTGTACTCTGCGTTCCACTGCAGGGTTGATGTGCAAGAGCTGGAAGTTCAATGCCCTGCAGTGGAGTAAATGCCAAATTCAGTGAAGAGCAGCCAAGTTCCTCAGCACTTCCCCTTATTGATGTTTTTAGTACCTTTTGCCACGATCTTGCTTGAAGTAGCAGGAACGCGTAAACTCCTACTTCCATCTTGATCAAGCATACCATATCCTACTACCAACCCATACCCAAAAGAACTCTCTAGCTTCAGGCACACAAAATTTCACCCTATTAGACAACATCCTAATACGCGTGACATCATATCTTTCCTACATCTTCCTTCGCCTTAATCCACCTCTTTTCTTTTTGGATTCAAATAAGGCACAGGAAGAGGTTTTACTATCCTAGGAGGCAGTAGCTCTTGCCACTTTTTGATTTCTTGCAAATCAATTCAAGAAATGTCCTTTTAGTTTTTCTAGTTGAATCTCCTCTTGTGTCATCTGCACAAATTGCAAGGGACGACTTGCCAGTCAAAAGACTATATACACGCATTCGTTAACAAGGGGGTGTACTCTGAAATAACTGTCTTCTCAAAATAACCAGCACAATTTGAGATGTTGCTGTCGAAAGACCTGCTAAATTATTTTTTTCAGCCCCTGACTCTGAAGGTTGCAAGCAGGAATCTTCGCTAACTCTGCCAAACCTCCAGCATCCCCCATAAGAATAGCTGCAACAGAACTCCCAACAACATTAGAATGGTTAGGTGCAATACACCATTCTACTCTTGACGAAATTTAGCATCCTTTTTTCTTGCTGAATCAAGCTCGATTGCATGGTAGCAAGCCTTGACAGTCTTGTGTAAAACATTCTCAGCAAGTGGCTTACCCCTGGTAGTTGAAGCCATGACCGAAACTACCATAATAACGGTAGAAGGCAGAACACCGTCAAGATCAACTTTAGTCGGTCAAGTCCGTTCATTACCAATATTTTTAACAACACGAGCCTAGTCAATAGGGTGACGAACAAGGTCTTTGAGCTAATTGTCACGGATAAAATTGTGTACACTAATAATTTCATTATCAATATCGACTGTTAATGCATTACAATCAACGATCAATTGATAGGTTTGTCATTTTCAGAAACTATTTCGTGATTAGGAGAAATCTAACATCCTTTCTGTACAGTTTTGTCTTCAACTCTATGCATTCTGTTAATGTAAAGTGAATTTTGTAGCTTCAGAACTTTATCGAGATCATTATATGCCAAAATTCCATCATTATTAAATTCCTTTATGTTCTCTTAATCAACGCCTTCTTTTTCGTTTGATAATGGTTCAAGATCATCAGACAAGAATGAGTCTGCAACACTGCAAGTGTTGCCATTGTTGCTGTGATCAAGTGAATAACAAAACAGAAGAACAATATTTTACTAGACTGCAGATCTCATTTACGACGGACATAGTTGCCAACTGATTAGTACGAAAAAAGAAAACACAAGGAATGAAATTCAACTTAACTCACGTAGCTTTCTTCAAAGGCCAATAGACCTCAAAATTGATACGGGAAGAAAAGAGTGGCATTAAATCAGGACGTGTAAACTGATTGTCATCATCGTCATCATCAAAGGTACAAAAATTTGCTTATTTCACGTGTGTACAAAATTTCCAATGAGGCAAAGAAAGCACAGAAAAAGCAGAATCCATTGCTGCTTTTCTTATGCAATCAGCCTTGAAATTTGAGTTGTTCTTAAAGGAGTGGAAGACAAATCTAAACTAGGTCTGTAAAAACAGACTCGTAAACTGCTAAGAAAATTCAAGTGCCCTTGGATTATAAGGACGCATAATTCTACCTATTTATCTTCTGCATCAGTGCAGTCTTCCAACAAACTGCACGCTCCTCTCTTCCCTCCTGTTGTGGTCTTCTGATCTACACAGTGTAATGTTGCTGCATGTTTTCGATATCTAATCCCTTCAGTTTCACTACAGACTCCACATGGCCTTTCAGCGTGTGCAACTCCCTCAGCCTGCATTCACAAATAATGAAATAAACCATCTACTATCTGAAAATCAAACGACATAAGTTTCGTACAAGTAATCAATCTGCCAGATGATCTCTAAAACTTTTCCTTTGAAAAGAGGGATAGTAGTCTCTATTATATGGAAATCAAATTACTACCAGCCAACTTGTTATGAGTGACTATAACTAAACATGACACATGTATTTATCAACTTAAAATGATTTTGTAAGTATATTCAGGAGATAAGGCTTTAACAACTTAAAGTGATTTCAGAAGTATTTAAGGGAGTGGAAGATATGAATGTATCATCAAAGTTGTACCTGAAAGTCATGTTAACACTAAGGGTTATGTCTTACCTTGCAACTTCAGCCCTCCTTTTCGCTTGCTCGGCTATCTCAGAGAGTTCTCTGTAATTGCTCTTCTCATTGAATAAGGTGGTGGATTCTGGAGGAGGTTGGAGGCCATGCAGGGTTCTTTGTGCAGTCGCCCACTGTGCTTCTCTCTCTTCTTTTCCGTAGTCCTTCTTTGTGGTAAAAGCAGTCTAAGGAAGGCAAGAGAACACATCCATCATTCGGTTGCAAAACCAACAAAGAGACTAGAATTTTTTCTCTGCTTCAACACAAATATTACCTTATTTTCCAGAAGATTGTTCCAAGCCCTTCCACTCAGCGCATAGCGAATGAGAAATTTCAGAACATCAAGTGGCAAATAAGTGACCAGGCTGTAAATCCATACAACACCAGCCCATCCCCATCCCATAGCTTCTATCTTTGCAAAGCGGAAATTGGCATAGACGGCTATGGCAGTAGCAATCTGTCGAGAATAGCAAAGAATTAGCTATCTGTCACAAAAGCAAGCAGGGCAAAGGAAGAAAAGATGTCGATCTCAATGATTTTAAAGAAGTCCTTAAAGTAAATGGATTCATAAATATAGATCAACTTTCCAATTTTACAACTGCTTTGTTTATGAAACAGGCATAAATGTGGATTATTTTTACTTCTATATAAAAATAAATATATGAGTACTGTACAAAGTTTACCAGCTGAGCAATCAAGAAAGCACCGAGCAACAGCAACCCTGGGCGTTCAACAAAGGACCAGCTTCGAGACCGTGTGACAAAAATGAGGGCCTGGCTAATAACACTCACTTGCAGATATAAGGCCGCCATCATCTGATCGTGAGTCAATGGCTTTACATGGAATTTGTCCTGCAAAGACAAAGTAAATTGTGATGGGTTTTATATATTATGGAGGAAATCTTGCAGAAAGTAAATTCAAAGGCTGATATAACAAGCATTTTACCGTGAAGAAGGTAGTGTCTGACATGAGCCAGAAGAATATTACTGTCATTAGCGCTTGGTAACCTCCCAAAACAACACCAGTGGCGAAAATCTCATTCAGCTTCCAGCTGTCTGGGAGGGGGGATGGCTTTACTCTGTCTTTTGAAATTGTCATAATTGTTCCTAGTTGCCAAATATACCAGAAAAAGTGAGGACAGTGAGATTCTAATAATAGCATAAATCATTAACATATAGCTTGATTGATGTATATTAGTTGCGCTGCAATTCTTACCATCATTTAGAATTGCGATGATCAGAACCATAAATGGTGAAAAGTCGAATTTCCAAATCAATGCAATGAACATAAAGCCAAACTGCAACATAAAAAGGATGAGGAGATGGTTAATGTTTCATAAAAGAAGTTTTAAACCCTATCAACATTAGTATAAACAGAACTTACCACAACACGGATTGTGATTGACACTGCATAGATCTGCATACACATACCCATGAAGGGAAAAAAAAAAAGAAAATTTAGAAAGTCTATACATGAAATATAAATATTCATTATCTGCACAAGGAAATGAACAGACCGTGTAATTCTTCATCCTCTGAAAGATAGCCCTGCTGGTAAGCACCGCACTGATAATAACACTTAATCCAGGTTCTGTTAGGACAATATCAGAGGCACTTCTTGCAGCATCGGTAGCATCATCAACTGCGATTCCAATATCTGCCTTTTTCAGAGCAGGAGCATCATTGACACCATCACCAGTCATGCCACAAATATGTTTCCTTTCTTGCAACCTCTTGACAATTTCATACTTGTGCTCTATGATGAGGACAAAAAGCAATCAGCACAATCATCTCATTTACAGTAATTAATGATTTGTAATTTAAAAGGAAAATTAAAACATCATTAACAGCGTTCCAAATTAGCTGGAGACAAGCCAGTCAATCATAACTTAATACAGAAACTCATTAGAGTATCCTGGCAGAGGAAAGCTTCCTAACTACTACATACCAGGAAACACCCCAGCAAATCCATCAGCTTTCTCAATCAACTCATCCACAGGGAGACCTGCAACATTTGAGCTCTTATCTTGTCCAAGCAATGAAGACGAGGGGTACATATTGGTCCCCATTCCAAGTCGTCGACCAGTCTCCTTGGCAATAGCAAGCTGATCACCTGGAATTGACAGGGCAATACGAAAACTAAGCCATTGGAATTATGAGTCAAAAGTAACAAATTATAAAAGAAACACCAGCATTAGCAATAGCATTACCTGTTATCATCTTTACGTTGACACCAAGATTCAGGGCTTTACTGATTGTATCAGTACTGTCATGTCGGGGAGGGTCAAATAAGGGCAATAAACCAACAAACTGCCATGGACCTCCTGGACTCTCTTTTGTTTTTTCTGGTACTTCCTACATGAAGACAATCACAAAAATGTACAACGGTGTACTTAGTCCTCTTTTTCTGGACACATGACACAGGAAAAATGTAAAAAGGTGTTGCATGTACATAAAGCATTTGACATAAGGCAGGATGCACAGACCTGTCTTGCAACAGCTAGAGATCTGAGCCCACGTTCAGCATAACTCTCAATAACTTTATGAACCTTTTTTTTGACGTCCTCCTTACAGCGACAAAGATCGATGATCTGTGAACATATAACACAAAGATAGTAGCACTTGGTGAGTAGGCTCTTCAACTTTTATAGCCTGCTGCTTAAATTAGTATGGGAAATAATAATTACCTGCTCAGGGGCACCTTTGCTTGCTCGATGCCAGTTACCGTTAGCATCAATGTAAGTCAAAGCAGTCCTCTTATCCACGGGGTTAAATGGGAAAAAATGGACCTCCCGTATTCCAGCCCGTGCCTAAAGTATACATGAAAATGGTCTTAAAAAGACATTAAAAATAAAATTAAAAAAAATGTTAACGAGTCTGTTTAAGTGATTATACCTCCTTTGGATCTGCTAGCATCCCTACCATGGCAGCATCAATCGCGTCCTGATTTTCAGTCCTTGAGGCCCTAGCTGCGAGCAGTAATACATACTCTTTCTCCACTCCCTTCGCAAAGACTTCAATAAGATTTTTGTCCACAGTGAGCTTATTCAATGTCAGAGTTCCTGTCTTATCACTACAGAGTACATCCATGCCAGCCATTTCCTCAATGGCTGTCATTCTCTTGGTGATGGCACCCTGCTCAGATAGTTTGTGCGAGCCAATAGCCATTGTCACAGACAAGACAGTTGGCATAGCAATTGGTATCCCACCAATCAATAGAACCAATAAATTATCAATTCCATCCCTGTACTTACGATGCTGAATTGGGTACATGACAATGATCTCAATCAACATTCCCACAGCAATTGAACAAATACAGAAGTTACCAATTGCTGTAAGCACCGATTGGAAGTGCCCAACCTGGTTAGTGCTGTCAACAAGGTGTGCAGCCTTGCCAAAGAAGGTATGAACACCAGTAGCTATGACAACTGCCTCTAATTCACCTTGTTTACAGGTTGAACCAGAGAAGACCTCGTCTCCAGGATTCCTAGTGACAGGAAGAGATTCTCCAGTGAGAGCAGATTGATCAATCTTCAGAGGATCACCCTCAAGAAGACGAGCATCAGCAGGGACTATGTCTCCTAACTTGATGCTAATTATGTCTCCTGGGACTAGAATTGATGCCTCCATTTCACCCCATCGCCCATCTCGAAGAACCTGTATTGAAGAGTCATTATTTTTATAAATCATATAGCTGCAACTGTGAAACACTTGAGCCTTTTTTCGTTAGTGACTTACTTTGGTTTTAGGAGCAAGGTTAGCCATAAGCGCTGCTGCTGCATTACCAGCATTGTTTTCTTCTATGAAACTAATAGTAGAGTTGATCACCAGAAGCACCATGATACCCACAAAATCCTGCCAATCTGGAGGCTTATTATCACCATTTGCCAATACAATAGCCATTAAAGCAGCTGCCTCCATAACCCATGACAATGGATTCCACATAAAGCCAAGAAACTTCAAGAGTTTGCTCTCCTGTTAGTTCCAGATCAACGGTAACAAATGTGAAAAAAGCTTGATTAGATCGACTGGAAGTTAATGAACACAGTTAATACTTAATTTTCTTCAAGAGTAAAAGAACAATGGATAAACCTTTTTTTCTTCTAGCTTGTTATGTCCAAAAATTTGAAGACGGTTGGTTGCATCGTCTGAAGTCAGACCTTCTCTTGAGCATCTCAAACTCTCAAACACCTCCTCTATAGGAATTTTCTCCTGCAAAGCACACATGAATTTTTAATCATTGAAAACGTGAACCCCTCATAAATCATTGTTAGATAGTATCAAAACCATTTTTTTACAGAACGAACTAGCATAAGTTTAAGAAGCAAAGGGGGAATAAATCAATAAAGTATCCAACAGATCAATTCTCTATCTTACACAGCTCCACAATGGACCCTCTATACTTCATACTCAGTGATACAAACGGACAGCTTTAAGGCATATAGAAATTTATCTGTCATTGGCACACCATCTTATCTCATAACACGAGCCAGACAACTTTTTTTAAATAGGACTTGTGAACTTAAAATTAAAAACTCATCACAACATTGCAGAACCTACATCACAATATGCAGGAAATGGAATCCATAGTCCATATTCATGAGACAAGACCCTCTGATTAGTAACTATTGCAGTAATGCTTACGTATTTATATTATTAAGGTACTTAATTCTGCCTGTCTTCAAAGCCTTGACTGAAGTACTATCATACCAGTGTTCTTCCTAAAGGCTATTTAGCATCAAAATTCGACCGTGAATTATATCCTTCCTTTGACCTTCAAGCACCCCGAAGCAGGAACTAGCTATTACTCTATTAGCCTTCATCAATGAAGGCATCTCAACAGTTTGTTTTTTTAATTTATTTACTATATTTATTTATTTTTTTAGTCATACAAATAGCTTCTACTCATCAATTTTTCCCAATCAATTTACATGGACAAGTTATTCAGATTTGTCCATAATTTTAGGCGGAAGCTCAAATAATCAGCTAATAACTGCTCAAAAACAATCAAAATTACACTTATCGTTACCTCAGTTTGGAAACATTTGCACTATTTTGACTTTTTACACTATTAATGCATTAAAACTCAATAAGTTTTTGGCTTAGTCTCAAAGTCTATTATTAATAGATAATTAAAAAAATTAATATATGGTCAAAATTGTACATTATAGGTACACTTCACTTATATTATAAATATCTCCACAATAATATTGCTGACAAAATCTCAAATACTCCTTATATGATTGAATTTGTTTTCTCTTATTGTCTAAAAAAAGAAAGTGAAAAAAGAATTGCAAAATTAATGTACACTGGTCAAAGTCAGACTATAAACCTGACTGAGTAAAGAACATAACTTTTGACCTTGACCTTTGGAAGGAGCCTTTAACAATAGTGTAATTAAGCAGTGTGATTGTTAACTAAACAATCAATGAAAAAAAAAATTCCAATAATTTTGATTAATCAGGTCAATTTAGTAGTAATTGTTAACATTGTTAACAGAAAAATTAAGAGGATATATATTCCTACTGATATCCTCCAGGCTCCAGTAAGTGATTGCCAAAGTAGTGGGCCACAGAATTTGTGATATCCACGAATAATCAACTTCGCATATTTTTTAAAGCTTGTCACTTTACAAGCTTGACAAGACGTAAGAATCCTTAGTAACTTTAATAACCAATACATATTTGAGTAACAATTATTATTATTAATTAAAAACTCTTAATTGATACTCCATTTTAACAAAAGAAAACACATAAGAGTACATGCTATTTACAATTACAAATTTACTACAATCTTCTCAAAACTATTAATAAAATAGCTTTAAAATAAACAACTTCTAACATAGCTTTACAAAAACTATAAATTATTATTATGTAGTATATTAATATATTGTCTCATAGCCTCGATTTTCTTTACTTAGATATGCAAACGTTACAATTAAAAAAATATGACCATCTCTTGTATGAAAGTTAATATAGATTATTATTTTCTTTTACAAATTGATTTTCACATTTTTATGTCCACCTCTATAACAAGGCAAGCGTAAATTTCTTCAAATACGTGTCAAAATTAAACCTAAGTACAAAATACTATTGGGACGGGTAATTTAAAGCCTTTATGTACAACCATTGTCCATAAAATTTATCTTTAAAGAATATATCCTTCACATAAATATAAATATTTGATCAAATAACCGTAGGATTTTTATGCAGGCATACATATCATTAGTGAAGTATCATACTTTATTTATTAATTTTTTTTTTGGTAAAAAAAGGTAATTTTTTTTTATCAGGACCATTGAGTGAGAGAATCGTAAATCTGGCCTTCCACTCAAAGATTTGTCCGCAATTTCTTTGTGTCAAAGTACAAGCAAAATAAAAACAAAATATTCATTTTTTTTGTTTAATAAAATCAAAAAAATTAGTAACACTAATAAAAACAACTAACTCCGAAAATTTAGCGATTAACTGAAAAGAGTGTTACTAGTAATTCAGTATAGCTAATGATTAATTAGGACTCTTTTCTTAAAAATCATGCATAAAAAATGACCAGATTTTATATTTTGCTCCGATAATTTGGCAAAAAGCGCCGGAAAAATATCCCAATAACATAATTAACATAAAAATAATCCAGATTAAGAAATATTATCATTCACTTCCAAAAAAATGATAAAATAACAATTTAAAGATTTTAAACTGATAATTACGTAGAGATTTTTTTATCATCATGAAGATTCGAAATCTTCAAATTCAATCGTAAAAAAAAAACGTCGATTTCAAACGATTATTCATCACATAAATTACGAACTATATTCACCAAAATTACGATAAAATTATACGAGCTGAGTACTAAAAAATTACATAATCTATTAATAATACACAGAAATTCGAAAAAAAATGAGAAATATTATACCAGATCAACATCCTCATTTTTAATATCTTCAAGGCTCGCCGCCATTCCACCACCAGGCATACTCGCTGGAAATCGCTAAAAACGACTCACTGAGTCGAATCGTTAATTCAAATCAACTGAGAAATGAAAAAACACAGAAAATTATGAGTATCAGAAGAAAACCTAGAAAAATAATGGAGAAAATAAGAAGAAAAAGTGAAGAAGAAGGAAATCAACAATGGCGGAAGAAGTAAGCGGAGTACATACGCACTTTCTGGGATGAAAAATGGGAAATTTTCTCTCTCTAAAAAATGCCACGTTTTTCAGTGGGAGAGGAATTGGAGAGAAGTGCAGAGGCAGGTATTTATACTAGCAGTACGAAAAGGGTGAGAAATTGGTGGGACCTTTTTTTGATTTTTTTTCGCTTTTGCTTTATTTATTTATTTATGCGTTTGTAATTTTCTTCTAATGATATTTTATCTCTCTTTATCTCTTCTATAATTCTATTCCTATTTAGCCAATGTAATTTAGGATGTTGTTTAAGATGTGTGTGTTCTTTTTGAGAGATTTTGAAATTTTGAGATGGTGATAAGAGTGATACTTAGCCATTTAGGGTTTTTTGATGGGTGGAATCTTTATTTTAGAGCAAGTGTTTTGTTAAAGGCTTGATTAGAATAGTTAATTAGACTAATTAATTGTTTATTCTTTTTTGGCGACTTCAAATTTTTAGAGTTAAGCACACAATTAGGTACTCAGTTCTTAAAAATTTCACCTTTTAGGTACTCAATTATTTTTACTTTGCTTTTGGGTACTGAGTTAAGAATTCCGGCCAAAAAAAATAAATCAGCCAAAGAATTCAGTACCTTGGGTTAAAGAATTTAGTACCTTTGGTTAAGTATGTGGGCCCCACCCGATTAAAAAATTAATATTTATATAAAAAAATGTATTAAATTTGACTAAGAAACTAGTCGTTGGTTTCTCTATTTAAAGGGGCATGAACCTGGCAGAAAATGCATCATAAACCGCAAGAAAATTCATCAAAATTCATCAAAAATAATTCATCAAAATTCATTCATAAAAAACAGCAAGAAAATTCATCAAAATTCATAAAAAACAGTCATTTAACCAGCAACAAAATTCATCCAAACAGGTTCATTGAGCATGTATATTTAGGCATAAATTCTTCAAGGTTTTCCCAGATTTTGTAGAAAAAAAAACAGAAACAGAAGGGTTGCTGCTTCCCCCTGCTACTGGTACTTCAACTCTGCCCCTGCTGCTGCTTCTTCTGTCCAGCCACAAAATCAGCCATTGTTGCTTAACAAATTCATCCAAAACCATTTGTAAAAAAAAAAAAAAAAAAAAAAACAAAAACAACAAGGTGCATATCATAGCAAGGTATTATGTGAGGACACAAATTCAGCATATATACACAATATCACCAAAACCTCCCCTGTTTTAGTGCGAAAAACATGTAAACTAATCCAACCCTTGCGCATTGTAAACAACATGAAATCAACATTCAACAACAACACTACCTTAATCCAACAACAAACAACAACAAAGCAACAAATTTAACACAAAAAACGCAACCAATCGACATCATCAATTTGTTAAAAAAAAACCCCAAAATATCGAAAACCCTAGGTCGCAACAAACATCAACAAATGGGCAAAAAATCCAAAATTTATATCAAATTAACAACATAAACGATGAGAAATTGAGCTTACCTAAAAAAAATGGCGGCTTTTGGTGTCGTTTTCCCCAGATTCGAGCCCAAGGTTGCTCGTTGTTCTTCGACAGTGCTCAGCAATGTTTCCAGAAATGGGAAAGAATAAAGGAGCAAAAAGGGGAATAAAGAAAAAGAAAGGGAGAAAAAAGGGTTGACCCGCGAATTTTTTAATCGGGTGGGGCCCACATACTTAACCAAAGGTACTAAATTATTTAACCCAAGGTACTGAATTCTTTGGCTGATTTATTTTTTTTGGCCGGAATTCTTAACTCAGTACCCAAAAGCAAAGTAAAAATAATTGAGTACCTAAAAGGTGAAATTTTTAAGAATTGAGTACCTAATTGTGTGCTTAACTCAAATATTTGAGATTGTGACAAGTGTGATATTTAGGGTTGTTTGTCGGTTTATTTTTTTTAGAGCGAGTGTTTTGTCAAACGATTTGATTAGATTTAGAATAGTTTGTTAGACACATTAACTTTTGAACAACTTTTTTGTGTGGCTAGTCACGCCATATGATAGGGATTACTTGTATGAGTTACTTATTCAAGGTTACTTGTATAGTTGTATGAGTTGCTTATTCATGTTTTCGGGGGTTAATTGTAGGGGTTACTTTTAGGGGCTACTTGTAGGGCTTACTTACTCGATCAATTAGCGCATATTTTGTTTGAGAGTAACCCTTGACCGAACAAGTAACCTTTGAATAATTTTCTTCTATAATTTACCCATGGCCAAACGAGCAACCCCTGAATGAGTATCATGTGACCAAACGAGTAACTCCTGAATAAGGGTCTGTTTTCTTCAGCTTAATTTCAGTCCAGTTCAGCTCCAATCAGCTTAGTTCAGTTCCTAATTTTCTTTTCTCATAATTCATTTAAGCTTTATTTAGTCCGATCCAGTTCAGTTCAGTTCCTAATTTCCTTCTCTCATAAACAATTCATTTCAGCTCTATTCAGTTCAGTTTAGCTCCAATCAGTTCAGTTCAGTTTACCTCAGCAAATCAAATTGGGCCCTAACTACAAGTAACCCTAACCAAACTAATAGCCCCCCACAAGTAATTCCCATCACACGGTGTGACCAGCCACAAATAAAAAAATTAAATTAACCTTTACATTCATTATCTTACAATAATTTAATTGGTCTTAATTACTTTATATTTTACAAGATTTTGCCTTTATTTTATGTTATTTTGGACAAAATAGGTTTTTAGATAAATAAAATAAAATAAGTTAGTTGAAGTTATTTAGCGGTGGTAAGAGTTAAAAATTCCGAAACTCAAAACCCAAAAAAATTAACCACAATTCATGATTGTACATAGAAATTCAACTTTTCTACAAGAAAAAAAAATAAAAAAATAAAAAATAAAAAATAAAAAAGATGCCGATCTTCCTTGCGAAGCCTAATCGAGCGGCAACAAGAAAAATACTCCGTAATGAATAGAATGGGATTTCTAGGGTGGGTGTTTACTAAGGACGGTTAGTTGACAAATTTATATGAACCCCTAATTTTAAGTGCAAGCTACTCTTAATCTTAGACCAATTATATTACGGAGTATTTGCCTAAATGATGGGATAATATTTGCCTACATATGAGTACATGGTTACATAAGTTCGATAAAGCTAAAGCAAGTAATTTTTGACTAGAGATTCGATCATCAATTCCCTCTCTCTCTCTCTCTCCCCCCCCCCCCCTTTTTTTTTATTTATTTATTTATTTATTTATTTTTATTTTAAGAACAAATAAAGAGATTTTTTTTTCTTTGAAGAAAAGAGAGAAATACTTTTTTGATTGAGGGTCTTTAGCAAAAGTAAATAATTCGAAGTATATTTAATTACAGACATTTGATACATTAATTTAGTATAAAAAACCAAAATTTCAAATTTAACCTTATTATTTAAATAAACATCCACATTAATCAATCATTTGTATGAGCTAAATAATTTAACCTTTTATTTATTTAGTTTGAAGCAAAACTATTAAAATCTACCGATACACTACGGGCCTATTCTCATTGACTGAAATGAGTTGAGCTGAACTGAACTGAACTTATTAGAGCTGAACTAATCATATGAGAACAAGCCCTACCTCTAGTTAGTAATAATTCGTTTTTCAGATAATCAATGTAATATTGTTGGTGTATAGTGAGCTACAAGGGCGAATAATAATCAATCTCAGGATCACCTTACCTGTAATTAACTGAAAAAGCTTTCATTACTAGAGTTATCCCTTCTATATGCTCTTAATCTATGCATCAAACCTCATTTAGTCAATTATGATTATATTGCATGTATGAATTTTGATTTGATAAAAATGAAGAACAAACCAATAAGATATAGAGTAGTATAAGTATATTATAATCATATGGATTAGCTTTGCACTTATGTACTCGTCTAATCTAAACACAAACTATTAATTTGGCTTTTTTTTTTCTTTTTTTTTATATAAAGCTATAATTTACGGAGTATAAGTTTAAAAGTTCACCATCTTTTTCTCGACTTTTAAGAGTTGACCTGTTATAAAAATCAATCTAAGCAAGAAAAAATTAGAGTAATTAGACCCTATCCATAGTGGGCTCCCGGTTAGATAGGGTCAATGATATTCCACTTTGACATTGATACGTGTTCAATAGTTGATTCATTGTGTTGAGTACTTTAGAGAAAATCCTTTTCCTCTGCCGTACGATTTTATTTTTAGTTTCTTTTGTGATAAGCCGTACGATTTAGTGCTTCATCTTTTGTCCTCCACACTTTCACCTATAATTCCCACTCATGTTCAAACCAAACTTCCATTTCAATGGAAGGTACAAAAGCCATACTAATACTCAATCCCACATGATATTTTAGGATTTTGCTCAAAGATTGAGAGTTAATTCCTATGTTCTTTCAACACTTTTCTTTGGATTTGTTTCTCACTAAAAGAAGTAAAAATAGCACTAAGATAGACCGGTCTTGCAAGAAAAAAAATGACATGATCTGTTATGTTAAAATTAGTGAAATAATTTTACTTGAGCACGTAACTATGGCACGACCTAGCACAGTTGTATGTGGGCTTGGGCCGTGCATGGGCAAACCTGTTAAAAATAACATAGTATACGACAATCAATGATATATTTTGTATGAGATAAACTCACCTTATGTTGAATTTTTTTTTCTTTATTTAAAGTGTCTAGTTACATTTTACTTTGTATAATGAAATAACCAAAATGTCCTAAACTCCTTGGTATGAAGTAATAATAAAATAAAATAAAAATTGAACGTAAGATGGTCTCACCAAAGATATACTCGTGTAATGGTATGATAAAAGGGAAGGGAGTACTCTATGCGCATGCTTAGCTTCTTAGTGCTTAACCCAAGCCAGTGCATTATTTGGACTCGGATTAATGACATTTTGTTTGTTCATGAGCCACTCCTTTTCCAAGAGAAGTCACTAGAGCAAGTTAGCATGAACCATGTGTCCATATTTTTCAATTGAAGGAGAAAACCCTAATGTTTTCACTTTACCTACCTAACGTATACCACATCTCAACTAATATGGCTCTGAAAAGATTGTATTTTTTGTTATACAAAATTTAGAAAAGTTCATCACCTTTCCTACATGGTTATTGATATGTTTTGATGATTTGATCAGATATATCATGAAAATAAGTTCA